AGGAGGGAGAAGAAGGCCTGGGCAGGCAAAACTGTAAGCCCCGAAGGGCCAATTTTGGGTGCTGTCCCCATCCCAGGGGGCTGCAGAAGAGGCGTCCGCAGCCGGGACAACCCGCCCCCCCAGCCGAGGCCGGTCGAAGCCCACTTTACCACAGCCATGAGGAGTCCTCTTGGTGCTCCTGGCGGCCGTTCAAAGGTCGGGCGCGCGCCGATGGGGGGTGGGTGTGTCTTGCTTGCTCCACACCGAGCGCCATCGGTCCGGACCGGCGTGGTCACCGAGGGTCGGCTTGCACAAGGTCTGTGCCGCGGGCGCTCGGCGCCAAGTGCAGTGTCACGCTCGCGCTGGAGCGGGACACAATGGGAAACCCTCGTTTCCTATGAACTCGGTCCCCCAACGGAAGAGGCCTCGCTCCTATTGGAACACTCCAACATCAGATTTGCCTCGTGCGTCCCTTTTTGAGCCGGAAAGCTATTTTCTTTTGGGTCCTGTGGGCACCCTACACAAGAGACTCGAGGTGAGGCGATACACCACAAGGCCCCCTAGCTGACCCAACCAACCAACCAGCACCAGCACCAGAGAGTCGCAGAGGTCCGAGCCGGCCCAAGGATGCCTTCTGAAAGGTCCACTCACTCGCTCACTCCCCCGCCCCAGTTTTCCCGAGGGTCCACTTCCTCCGCCCTCCCCCACCACAGGCCCCAGTATCCCGAGGGGCAGGCGAGGGCGCTCAGTGGCAGTCAGTGCATTCCAAAGAGCTGCACCAGCGCCCGCACTCGCGAGGGAATGTCACCGGTCTGCACCTCGTTGAATGTCAGGTGCTCCATCATCTCGAGGCAAGGAAGGATCCCCACGACTGAGGCAAGGTTGGGGAAGTAGCAGCATTGGAGGGTCTCCACAATGTCCACCACGTCAAGCTGCTCCTCAGCCCTCAATGCCGAGCGCAGTCCCTCTGCCAGCGACGGCTCCTCCTCCTCCTCCTCCTCCTCCTCCTCCTCCTCCTCCTCCTCCTCCTCCTCCTCCTCCTCCTCCTCCTCCTCCTCCTCTGCCTCAGCAGAATCAGCATCAGCAGCAGCAGCCGCCTCAGCAGCAGCAGCAGCAGCAGCAGCAGCATCAGCACCACCACCACCACCATCATCATCAACGGCTGCAGCAGCAGCAGCTGCTGCTGCTGCAGCAACAGCAACAACAACAACTACAGCAGCTGCTACCACTGCTGCCGCCGCCGCCACAACAACAGCCACCACCGCCGCCTCCGCCGCCACCGCCGCCGCCTCCTCCGCCTCCGCCTCCTCGTCGTCCTCGTAGTACTCGTCCTCGTCGTCGTCGTCGTCCTCCTCCTCCTCCGACTCCGCCGACGACCCCCGACAGAACAAGCACCAGCGCCGACCGCGACGACGACCCCACCGCCGCCACCACCTCCACCTCCTCCTCCTCCTACACCACCACATCCTCCTCCTCCTCATCCTCCTC